ACTCTTTTGTCAACGAGTCTTTTTTTAATGTTTTTGAATGAAAGCGAAGCCCCTCCATCGTGACCATCGATTTGCTTCCCATTGATCACAACCGGTGGGCGCACCTGAATGGGGTGCGCGAGTGGGCTAAGCCCATCTTTTTTCCTCCAAGATCTACATTAAAATCTTATATATTTGATTAGAGTAAATATGTGAAAAGTAAACTGTTATATTTGACTATTTCTTGTAATATTTTGTAAAAATTTAAACAAAATAGAATTATGCAGATTAAAGGAATGATTGAAATATCTAAGACTAACCACTGTGTATGGTTAAAATCTCCTATTTTAAAACTAAACAATATTTTGAATTGCATTAATATTTCATCTAACAATTTGTAAACATACAAGCAACAAATTGTATTCAAACTGATACTAATTAACCTGATACAAACTATTACAAGCTGATTACAAAGAGAACTATACAATAACACACTTACTGTTTACATATGCAATAACTGGAAAATAGTTTCCAGTGTTGAGGGCAATAGGAAGGAAGAGAATGCAGATTGCAATCACACATGCTGTTATAAAGATAAGGAGGAGAAATAGAACCTGGTAGGTAAAATGAATTATGAAGCTATGAGGTCAGGATAGCTTGTTGGATGATGAAGTATCTTCGGGCAGAAGAGAGAGAAGAAGGGGAAAACAGAGAAGAAAAGAGAGAAGAGGGAGAGTAGTAGAGCGGAGCAGAGCTAAGAGGAAAAGCTCGGAGAGGCTTGTGATCTGCGAACTGACTTGCGATCTCCAGACTGGTTTGCGACCTGAGGTCTGAATGAGAGGAGGCCTCCTCTTATATAGAAGAGGTTGCTTCGTGATGAAGCAAAGGAGTGATAAGACCGAAAGGGGGAGAGGACATAAAGTAAAAGCAAAAAAGGAAAAAGACAAAAATGAGAAAAGATGATGCTTAAAAAAGCATCATGTACAGTGACTTTTTTGTTTCTTATAGAAGTGGCCACAGTAAAAAGCATCTTTGAACAGTGGCTTTTTGTCTTCTTCTGTCGGTGGTGATGGTGAAAGAGCATCCTTGTACAGTATGTCGGTAGCTTCTGTCGGTGGCTTTTGTCTTATATGTCGGTGGCATAGCAAAAGTCTCTTGGTATGATCTGTGTATGTCGGTGAGGTACTGTGGAGCATCTTTTAGGGTCTTTGGCTGAACTTATCTGGGTCTTCTTCTTCTGGGTCTGTTTCCTCTTCTGGATCTGCTTCGTCAAGTTGTAAATATTGATTGGTGTGTAATGGTGAGGATTGTACGGTTTCGTCTGATGAAACAGGTTTTCTGCCTGCTTCTGCGAAGATCTCTTTCATTTGTTGTTCTAGCATTTCTTTAGAAGCATTTGGGTTAGATTGGAGCATATTTTGTAGGTATGTAAGAAAGTCAAAGGAAGTATTGGCTGTATTATGGTCACTTGGACTTGGGTGATATATAGGTTTTTGTGGAGGTATCCTCTTGGGAACTATGGTTGTGGGATCCATATTAAAAATATCCCACCACTTGACTGAGATGGTTTTACCCAGTCTGGGAATGTAGGTATGGTCAGCCGTATTACTGACAGAGATAGTATATTCCCATTTCATAATCCATGGGAGTTGATATAAGGCCACAAAGTAAAGGTGATTGTTAATATCATTATTGCTATTATTAAATTTCACAAATTGTTCCTGCACTTTTTGGAAAGCAGGAGGTAAAATTGAAGTGGTTGATCCCCAAACTAAAAACCAATTTTTAAACCAGTTGGGGAATCGTTCGAAAACAGGTAATCGAAACTGGATATACCAGCTATGAGTATTGTTTGGATTTTGGTAATAAAATATTTTATGCCAAGACTCTATGTATTCGGCATATTTGTAATATTTGTATAAAAAATCGGGGTTGTGTAATTTCTTTCCTTGAACGGGATTGCATCCCCACTCATCATAAGAAAGTAGTTTCTTAATTTGGACTTTGGAGTAAGCAATGACTCTAGTATTCTGTTGGTAGTAATGGACAACAGATATAGATCTTGTTTTCATGAGAATTGCTTCATAATATTATCTGGTTTTGACTCCATTGGTTGGATTTAAATGATTAATCAAATATAATGGAGCAAGCTTGATGGGGTCCGTATTTATGTGATGGTCATCAATGGTGATGTCCATAAGGTAGGCTCGTTCAATGTATGAAGACCTAGGCAAATTAGGCCTTTGATTGGATTTGGATTGTGCTTGAGAATAAGCAGGAGTAGAAGTATTAGCCTCAGGGTAAGTAATTTGGTGAATAGGAGAGTTGGAAGGTGAAAGGGTTGCCAAAGGCGGGAATTCACCTTCGAAGGGTATTATATTCAGTGGACGTTTGTCGTTGCGAGAATTGCTACGAGAACCCATGGAATTAGGTGAAGATGATAGAGTAGTATTATTTCTATTAGCGAAATCAAAGGCGGACATGATAGTCTGCCAGCGGGCAAATATTTGTTTGGAAACGAGATTTTGAACATCTTTTTGCAGAATATCTTTGGCGGCTTTACAATCAGTGCGTATGAGAAATTGTTGATTGAGAATATCACTCTGAAATTTTGTAACACAATGCCCAATGACTAGTAATTCCTTTTTTACCATAGAATAGTTTTGCTGAGTTGGGTTCCAGGCTTTAGAGGTATACCTGAGTAGTTGTTCCTGATTATCAATGCGTTACTTGAGAATACCACCCAAGCCTATTTCTGAGGCATCACACTCTATTATTTTGAAAGCAGTAGGATGAGGAAGAGAAAGGTAAACAAGTGTTTTGACCTGTTGTTTAATTAATTGAACTGCTTTAGTATGAATATGTGTCCAAGGTAAAGGATGCTTTTTCAATCTATCATGTAAAGGTTTAGCATCTATGGCAAGATTACTGACATAATTTAAACATCCTAAGAACCTCTGAAGTTTTTTCTTGTCAAGTATCTGATCAAGGAATTTATCAGCAAATTGGATAGATCTATCTATGGGAATAATTGTACCATGATGAATCATATGTCCTAGAAACCTAATATTGGTTTTAAACAAAGTTATCTTTTTTGCCGATACAACTAATCCAGCATTCTGGACTGTATGTATAAAAGTGTTAATATGTTTAATATGTTGGTCTATAGATTCAGAAAAGATTAGGACATCATCAATATAAACTATCATGAATTGGTAATAGGCATTAAAAACATCATTCATTATTTTCTGAAATTCTGATGGAGCATTTTTTAAACCAAATGGCATTATATTCCATTTATATTGTCCAAATGGTACATTAAATGCTGTTTTATATTTATCTTGTTCTTGAATTTGTATTTGCCAATATCCAGATTTCATATCGAATTTGGAAAAGATACAAGCATTAGCTACTCTATCTAATAAATCTTTTTTATTGGGGATAAGATATCGAATCCTTCTTAAAACTTTATTGAGAGGTTTATAGTTTATGACTAGTCGAGGAACTCCTCGTTATTTTTCAACATTTTTATTTACATAAAAAGCTGCACAGCTCCAAGGTGAAGAGCTTGGTCGTATTAACTTTTTTGTTTGGAGGTCACTAA